CGACATAAAATTATACTCTGATAAAGAATATAAACATTTTATAGGGTCTCCGGTGAATATATCGAGGTGTTGTAAACGAAATGACAAATTTAATAAAGGGATTGGTAAGTAGACATTCGATTAACCGACTTTTTGTACGGAAAAGTCTAAAAGTAGAAGTTGGCTTTTTATCTTTTCATAACCGACTTTCGATTATCTTTATAATTTTTTTGTTTTTTTTTATCACATGGAGCTTATGAAAAATTAAATATTTTGGAATTTTCATTTACCATCATGAAACAAGATCGATTCTGGCATATGTTAAATACTTTAGTATCAATAGTCGAAAATCGATTTTTAACACATTTGAAAAATCAAAAAATCTAAAAGTCCACTTTAGCCCTTTAATGTAATATTAGGTTAGGGGACGAGAAATCCATTACTTTTATATAAGCTATAGGACTATATTTAACATGCCTCGGAATGGCCGATTTGGGCCAGATATGCACCGTTTTGTTGTTGTAGCAGCACTATTGCATTTACACAATGAGCTGAGGTGATAGACGTTCGCCGAGTAAGACTCGGGTCGTTTCGGATCGTAGACCCCTCTGTCGTGGAAACGATGCACCGTTTTGTTGTATGATTTCTTGCCATTTTAAAGGTAACTTCATAATGCCTCTCTCATAGAAGTCCTGCTCTATATTTGCAAAAAACTCCAGTAGTTGATTTTCATAATCCTCCCTAGATACCTATTTTTTTATCATTAAGAGAAACCACACCACCCCCCCCCCCCCCCTTCTCGATTTTTTGAAATTCTAACGGTGTTAGAAAGAGTACATGTCTGGCTCTCGTATATACACTCACAGAGAAACGTCCCAAAATTTGAAATCGATTGGGTTATTAGTTTTTCAGTTATCGTGCCCGCCATTCGCAAAAACGCTGTTTGGAGAAAAACGCGTTTAAAGTTTGAGAAGCCCTCTTGCTGTCACCTGATGCTAACACAATAAATCGGCAATATCTTCAAAAATTGTTGAGATTTGGAAATTTATAGGGACATTCTTGAATTAGTGTAGGTTCCGAGAATGGGAGGGGTCCCCTTAAAGAATTTTTGCAATGCAAGAAAAAGACTAAAATCGCTTGGTGCCAAGTCCGGACTGTACTGCGGATGCACTAAAACTTCCCAACCAAGCTCCCGAAGTTTCTGGCAAGTCACTGTAGATGTGTGTGGCCTAGCGTTGTCCTGGTAGAACAAGATACCTGTTCTGTTGGCCAATTCTGACCGTTTCTGGTCAATTGCTATCTTCAAACGGTCCAGTTGTTGGCAATAGAGATCCGAATCTAGTGTTTGACAATTCATAATAAATAAGCCCCTTCCAGTCCCACCAAATGCATAGCAGAACCTTCCTGGCCGTTAGTCCTTTTTTGTTTTCTCCCAGGGTTATCGTATGTGATCCATTTCTCATCTCTAGTCACCACCTGTTTAAGAAATGGGTCTATATCATTCCGTTTGGCCAAGGCTTCGCTGATGGAAATTCGATCCATCCCATTTTTCCTGTTAATTGATGTGGCACCCAAACATCGAACTTATTTTTGAGTCCAGTTTTGTGTGAATAATTTAAAACAGTTTTATGGTCGATTTTTAGCTCCTGGGCGATGCCACGACTGCAAACATGCCGGTCAACTTCGATCATTTCTTTTTCCCTAACATAATATATACTCCACATTGTGGCGGAGGATTGCATACGAAGATACAAAGTTATTATTATTTATTCCTGAATTGCAGGATCACATGAGACTCGAATTCGGCTTTATACGTTTTTAATATGTTCATCAAGTGCTTCAATCCAAAAGATGAATTTTCATTTTTAACAAATTATGATGAAACTTGGAAAACAATTATTGAAATTCAGTTCAAATTTACATATAATTCCAACATATACTTGTTCGTCCAATTCTATGGAAATTGAGAACCAAAACTCCGATTGAGACAAGATTTTGCTTAAGGTATCCAATTAGTTTAAGTGTGGTATTTTTTTTCAATATTTATTTTATATTTATTTTTTTCTTTGGAAAAAGGGGTCACGTCGAAGAGTTGCCACTCTTCGACTTGACTCAAATTTGAGATATTCGATTCATGGTTTATATCCCGATGTTTCAAATTCGTCATTATTAGGCAAAAGAATTGACAATATACATACATTACTTAACGAGTTTCTTCAGAGCTTCGATCCGATCACAAGCTGCAACAGTAAATTACAAAACATTGAAGTTCTACCTAAATCTGTAGTAGAATTATTGATTCCGCCAACTATTTCCGTAGGTGATGTTCCATCTGATGATAGTGATGTTGTAAGACCATAGGACAAATAGGCTATTGTGGCCATATTAACGTTTGAAAATATACACAAAGTTCATCTGACCAGTATTGCCGTTTTGTACATTGCAGACCAAATTTGATTCGAAAAACAAATAAATTTTCAATTTGGTCTGATGTTTGGCCATTTCGGTCCATTTTCATGTTAATTTAGGAGAAATCCGCTTGAATTTTTATCGTTGGTGCGATAATCTGATTTTGGTCTGTTTTTAGGTACATTTTGGTCCGAAAGGGAATTTAGACATCTATTCAACTTTGCCGGCATTTATCTTTTGGATGAAGTACTACTTCGCGTGAAAGTCCACATTAAACTTTCCCGCAATTTTAAAAAATGAAAACATTCGAATTCGGTTGAATTATTATATAATACTATTATCCTTTTAATTTAGTTATTAATTGCCAGATTCTTGCAATGTACGTACCACAATTCCAATATTTCAGCATCAAAAGACTGTGGCACAACACCCCAACAGCATAACACCCAAACAACATAGCAAAACATACACATATATGGAGCGTGAACAAATGAGAAGGAGAGAGAGTTTTAAGAGAGCTCTCCATAAAATACTCATTTGAAAACAAGAGGGAGGAGCTAACTTGTACACATGAGAGAGTGAGAATTGATTTCTATTTGTCCCTGCTCTCTTGAAAACAATTGCGTTCTGTTTGTTTATTTTTTGTGCCTGTGTGTGAGTGCGTTGTGGTGGCAACGGTGGTGATTTTCAGATAACCCCTCAAAGATTGTTTTGTTGCTGCTGCATCTGTAATACACACATTTGTTTGTTTTTGATTTGAAAGATGGATAAAAATTATCTCAAATGAAAAAAGAAAAACAAATGAGAGCACCCATGAGTATGAGAGTGAATACAGTAAGAGAATGAGTGTGTGTGTGACTGTGGTGGGGAGGCTTATCATAAATTGTATTAACATCAATACAAACAGATGAAATACCCGATTATCTCCCTACCGACGGTATTCGTTTTTGTTATATGCATACATACGTATGTATGCAGTTACATTGTCTGGACAATTGAAAAAAAGGCATGAAGACATCTGCATTTGCATCTTCTGTCCATGTCGTTGTTGTTTCTGTTTTGTGGGAGAATTAATTGTCGATGTTGTTGTTGTAATTGCTGCTGTTTTTTTGTTTTAGGTGCAAATACAGACGTTCTGTTTTGCTGAAAGAGACAACATTGTTAAGGCCCAACTCACGCCTACTCTTCCTCCATGATCGGCTAGCCAGCCATGCATGCATGCATGAATGCATGCCAGGCATCCCACCCCATCCGTCCATACACACAGATAAAACAACTGACAAACCGACAGACAAACATCAAAGCGTGATGATCATTATCTGCCAGTTTATTCGTATAGCGCCAAGCTTTTTATTATTATTTTGATGGTATTGGTTTTGTTGGACTACCTCTTGGCTGTTGTCGGTGTTGTTGCTGGTGCTGCTGCTGCAACAGCTATTTCAGCTCTGCCATGGCTGACTGGCTGGCTACCTTCTCTCGTTATTGTCATTTGTTGTTGGGGTGATTGTTTGGCGTGTTATTTTCGATGCCATTAAACTTCTTTATCTGCTGGATAAAGCTGTAAATATCCGCGAGATTTACTACACGACGCGTGTCATTTCGTAAGCCAAGCGATTGCCAATTGGAAACAGCATAACTCTCCTACACGATTTTGTGTGTGCGTTTCTTTTTTGCCTTACTTGAGGTGAAAAGCAAAGAAGAAAAATACCGCCGCCATAGCCATACCATAAAGAAAAGACCCAAAAAAACTCGAAATAAGGAAAGAAAAAAAAGAACCTCAAACGTCCGGCCACATTGAGACCCCAAAAATTGTTCAACCATACGACAGCCAGTCAGTCGTTGGGCTGCTGGACATTTTGGCCTTTGTTACGATTTCGGCCGCCATATGCAATTGCATTAAATCGCGTCGTAGTTATTCGCCTCGATCCTCTTTTTTCGGTCAATTGTAAATCCCCAAAAGCGAGTGTCGGCCGCGACTGGGTCATTGTTCTTAAATGTGAATGTTAGTCGAATCGGCTGCTGCATCCGCTCACATCCGTTAAGGTTAACATATTCACAGGAAAAATATGTTGTAACGGTCATCGGTAGGTCGGTCGGTTGTCCGTCGTCGTCGTTGGTTTGCGGTCATCGCTGCCCTATCTCTGTGGCAATGTTCGTTTTGTGTGTGTGCAAATATCAGTTGATTTGAAATCTGTTCGCATTGTAAAATTCCCAAACGTATTGTGACGTTTTATTTCGAATGGCGGCTTTTATCACAGAATTAAATTGCTAAAAACAGAGGAAGAAGAAAAAAAATGAAAAAATAAGCCGCCAAACAATTGAAGACAATACGTGAAATAAAAAAAGAAACCAAAAACAAAAGAAAGCAAATTTAAGAATAAAAAAACAAAGGCAAAGTGTTAAAGGTAATATGTTGTGAAGGTGGTGTTAAAGGTGTTTGTGAATTATTACAATCTGCAAAGAGATTTTTTGGTGTTAAAGATTTCATTATTAAAAATATTGAAAAATATAAAAAATTTTAAACATTAAAATTTACAATTGCAAAATTAAAACCTAAGAATTTTCTAGTGAAACTTTAAGAATTATTTTTCAAACCGTACTTTGCATTGTTCGCCACCATGTTGGTCCCCCCGGATATGATGGCCGCTCAGACGCGCATGATTTATCAAATGAATCGCTATTGTGCTGAACGTGTACAGGCGCGAATGTTCAAAACCGCCACCGCAATTCGAGAAATTTGTAAAATTGTCCAGGACATACTGAAGGAGGTGGAATTACAGGAACCACGTTTTATATCCAGTTTGGTGGAATGCAATGGAAGGTAAGTTTGAAAAAAAACAGCAGTAAATAAAGCGCCGGAAAAAGTATTCGGTCCTAATCTTAATTTATATTTTTTAAGCTTAAATTTTTAAATTGTAGTTTATCCGAAAGTATAGTGGTTTGAAAATAATAACCTTTGATGAACTCACAATCAGAAAAATTTTGCAATATCGAAGTTTTCATGGTTGATTGCGGAGTATAGAGTAATCGAGGTCCAAAACTTATTTATGTTTAATTGAGCTTCAAATTTTGAAACTTTTCTTTTATTTAAGAGATAACTATTGTCATAAGTTTAAATAAAGATATTGTCATAACTTTAAATAAAGATATTGTCATAACTTTAAATAGAATTCCGATAAAAGACAATTGTGGCAAATCGACGTTGTGGGGGTTGGTTGGGAATTAACGAGTAATTTGGATTTTTTTTTTAATTTTCGTTTTTTTTAAGAGATAAAAGAAAACTTCTTCTCTAGAATTGCCGAAGACATTGTCATATTTTTTATAGTAAGGTTTGTCTGATTTTGAAACTTTTTCACTTTCTAAAAAAATGTATGGGGGCTATACAGAAATCGCTGAGATCGAAACTCCCAAAAACACCCGAAGGATATTAACAATTGTTAACAACAAAGTGATTTACTAATTAATAACACAGCGAGACAAAACCAATTCAAGGTTTTGGAATGGAAAATACCTATACGATGGCAGTTCGGAAATTTCTTAGCCTAGCGCAAAAAGCGCGGTACAAACAGAAAAACTCCAACTCCTTCATATAGAAACAGATCAAAAAAGACCCATCCGCAATTTTCTACAATGGAAGCACGCATTTATGAAGAAGTTGCCAGATCGAAACAAAATTAAAATCTGTTCATAACAGAGATTAAAGTTTACAAAACACTTTTTAGGCTAGGAATTTTTCGAACTGCCCTCGTTTGGTTTGAAATACCTTGGCGAGTATATGAAAATACCACCAGAAAATTGTCATAGGTCAAAATTCGGAGATATTTCATTATCATTTTTTGCTAGCGGTCCTACAATAAATGAAGAGATAGCTTCATATCTTGTTTAGTAGCTATTATATGTATTTTTTGAGATTACATTTCCGCAGTGAAATGGAATGATGATTTTTTGTTTAACATTTCGTTCTTCTAACTCGATTACTTTGGCATACTTTTCGCCCTTCATTTATTTAAACGGTCTCGATTTATCCCCAGATGCGATTTTTCATCCTGGCAATATTCTACAAAAATGATGTTCATGTTCATTAGTTCGGGTCCTCTAATATATGTTACGTTTTCCTCAATTTTGCCCGTGTCATATTACTAAAAACCTATTTGTATGTATTTCAATAAATTCAGTATAAATTCTTTATTGTGAAGAACTGTCGAATACGTTACGAATTTGTTACTGTAAACATGTACCGTTAAAGAAAATACTGGTTTTATATATTCTTGAAACAGATATTCAGTTAACATGGCATATTATTACAATACTAGTAAACAAACGCGATAAATATATTGAACCGGACTATTATCGGTTTTATTATCTTAATATCCGGTTCAATATTCAGAAAACTAGATCTTTCATCCTCGAAATTTGTTTCGGCATACCGATGTTTATATATAATTTTTCCCTGTATATGAAAGATTACGTCTAATAAGTAATTTTTAAGTTTAATCAGAATATATGTCATGTCATATCAAGGATCCAGAGAATATTGTTATACACTAGTGACCAAAACAAAAATTGTCAATATTATAAATGGTTTTTCTGTTTTGAATCGGGTACTTTATGCAATTTTTAAAAACAAAACCAAAAATGCAAAATTAATGTTGAAATGAATTGAAAAGAAATTGTATCAACTCTTGCATGGACAAAACTAAAGCAATTCTACTGTACAACAGATGAGCTCTGAAATTTTAATTCTTTTTAACGTTATAATTACTGTGTTTTGGTTTCTACACCTATTTCTATTCTTAATGATCATTTTTAAAAGGATTCCATTATGTCTGTACGTCTATAAACTAGCAAATTATTAGAGATTATGAAAAAATTTAGCACAGAAAATGATGTCAGAGAAATAATTCATAAATAAATCTGTGATTTCTTGAATTATAAGTCGGTTTTATAGTACGTTTACATTTAACCGGATTTCGTTAACCCAATGGGTTTCAATTGTAAATTCCTTTGCATATATGTCAAATAAATCCTCATGAAGCAGTTTAACCCGATAAAAAAGTTCTAATGTATATGCCGTTTTATGAACTAGTTTAGTAGGGACTGTTAATAACGGAGGGAGGCTGCAAAAGAACATCACTTCGTACTAACCAACTTGTTAGAGAAGTAAAAAACATCCATTTTGGAGTTCAACGGAATTTGTGAGAGGGTTGTCGTTGGATTAAATCTCAGAAACAGAGCGTACCGAATCTGTGGAAACAGGTCTACATACTCGGAATCCGTCAAGTTTATTTCCAGAAAAGCAAAATCTTATATCAATTGGAATCCGACTCAACGGATGAATTAAAGTTTAATATTTAAGGGTTAGATGCTAACAAATTTGCTGTGAGAAGGCCTAAAAATCAAAGACTAAGGCTCAGTATTGCAAGGGTACAGGGAAGCATGGCACTGGGCTGTTTTTCTTTTTATGGCGGAAGTCAAAAATCGCTGTTACATAAACGAACAGACATAAAATCTTCTCAAAGGTACAGGATACGAGGAATAGTATACCCAAAGATGACCAGGGCCCCCCTTTATACTTTGCTGTCTCGTAGGTGTGCTGCCGTAATCAAGAATAAGCTTATTTTCAAGAAAAAAAAAAATTAAAAAGTTGCTTTAGTTTTGACCAAGCAAAAATTGGCCAATGTAGTTTTCCAAATAATATTTTTTACTTCAACACAATTTTTTAAAGTGAATCAATTACATATTTATTTTTAAAAAATTTACAGTTCATTTATTCAGTTTGCAGTTTTAGTTGCTTTAGTTTTGGCCACCAGTTTATATTGCCAATCATTTCGACCAAAGGAATCAATTATTAACACTTGTCATTCTTCCGATTTTTTTCAGATTTATATTCTAGCCTTCAATATAAAACAAATGTAAGACTATTTCCAGTTTTGTCGAAAACATTCCGTAAAAATTGTGCCACGCGTAGCAATGATTAGTCCATACTTGTGAAATGTTCTTTAACACTAGAACGCCGAAGGCGGTCATTTTGACCGCTTTCCAATTTCATGTTCAAAAGCAACTGTGCATTTAATGACACTCAATTTTTTGTTTTTTGAAAATAGAATTCCAGTCATTGAAAAATTTTGTTTTCCTATAAACGTAAACATATTTCGGTTAATAAAGAAAATGTTTTCATTCATTTTCGCCGTTTTCAACGGACACACATGTAAATAAGGTCCTTGCGTATTTGGGTAATACGGACGTTCAACAAACCCTATAAAGGTGAGAAGGTGGGTATTTTAGTACGCAACGCACTGAATTTAGGTACGGGCCTTACAGATCTTCTACGAAATTCCCAACACCTAGCCTTATGACGGATGAGGTTATTATATACACTTTGTTATCGCAAACAAGTGCCTCATCGGAATATTGGTTTTTGCTTCCATGGACCTAATCTATTTCTGACAATTTGGAGCCGATTTACAAATGTTTCCGTCTGGCTCGCTGGTGCACACGATAACTTTCGAAGGAAGTAAATGATTTCATTCAAACTTCGCACATCGTAATATTTCTTCCAAAATTAGTTTTAAGGGTCAATGTTTTAAAAACATTGTAAATAAAATTCAGGATCCTATCTAAAATGTTGTGAACGAAATTTTTGTAGAATATTCGGGGGTTTATGATTTAAGAAAATATTATCGAAAAAGTCCCAAAATGAGTCGAGCTAGATAAGGAATATGATTTATACAAATATTATGCATTCGATTTGACTGAAGATTCCAAAGTTGATTCCAAATTCTAACAGCTTTTGCAAGACATACATAGCCGTTTAATTTATGTTTTTGAGTTTTTATTCCTAATTCATACCCCAGACCGACATGTGCTCCCGTTGGAAATTTTTGGTTCCTGATGTTCTTTAACTTTTCTCTTTCGTTTTTATAATGCCAATTAAACACTAATGAAACTGTGGCCAACAAATATTAATGTCCATATTTGTAAAAAGCCATGATTGTTATCACTGATCATAATGAGAACCGTCAAGAAAATGTTTCAATTTATTATATGTAATAGTATCCCCCGTCCACTTCTCCTGTAGGAAATACCAATATTTGCTGGAAAAACCACATTCCATGCCGGAGAGATAACAATCAAATATTTTCCTAATTTATACAATTACATTCCTATGGTCGTGTTACACAGGCAGTATAAAATTTGTATTTTATTTTTATTTTTTTAAAATTTAGATATTAACAACAACATAAAGTATATACAAGCATAGTTTTTAATAGCGTCAATAATATTGAAATATGTTGATTAGATTGAAATTTTGATTGAAAAGCCATAACGACAAACGTTTATGCTGTGCATAACAAAACAGGTGACGGACTGACTTGGGATTTGAGGAGTCGCCAGAGACTCGAATAAAATATTCACATTTTTTTATTTTTTTTTTTTTATTTCGTTTTTCAAATATTGTTGCTGATGTTGTTGTTTTTGTTTTTTAGTGTAGAATGTTTGGTTATTAATTTATGTGACTTTCTATGTTATTAGCCATATTTGTGCAGTCATTTGAATTATATGCGATTTTAAACAAAATGGCTTGTTCATTTTAGAAAGATGGTAAATTTCTGTTTTTTATGTGAACGCACGTGTGGAATGTTAAAAAAAAACAAGGTGACCAACTAGGTTTTTTAGAAGAAAAGGGTAGATTTTTTTCTCATGAGAATTTTTATTTTTCTTTAGTGAATATTTTGTGTTCAATATTTCAAAAATCTATATGCTACGAACCCCGTGACGAATTTGCCCTTCAGGATACTTTAAAAATTCGCCAAGGGCTTT